AAAAAAAAAAACAAAAACAAAAAAAAAACTGCTTCATCTTATCAAAAATGGGTATTTACATCGAGTAAATTTAAAATCCAATAAATTGAACACTGGAATTATTTTTAAGCCATTCAGATCAGTCTTTATTATTCATGAGTTTTAAATTTATTCTGACAATGCTGTCTTATCAAACCGCAGTAGCAGTCTTTGTTACACCCTTTACTGTCAAGGAAAATACATTTATAGACCAATATATATGTATATCATAGTAAAAAAGCCATTGCAGCAGCCTAATGAATTGTATTGATCCTTTGAGGCTGTAGCTTGATTGAAGTGATCCTGTTAAGAAATGAATAAAAACATTATGAACTATACAGTGACGTAGCAAGATTCCACCGAATCATACATGAAGGGTGGGTGTGTGGGTGGGTGAGGATATTTTTCATTGGTATTTTTGCTTTCTACCATGTATAACAAACATAAAACAACTTGCCAAGATCTGGTGGCGTTTAGATTGAGGAGGAGGAGGAGGAGGAGGAGGAGGAGGAGGAGGAGGCTAGGAGTAGTAGCAGTGGTAGTAGTAGTGGTAGTAGTAGTAGCAGCAACAGCAACAGCAGCAGCAACAGCAGCAGCAGCAGCAGCAGCAGCAGCAGCAGTAGTAGTAGTAGAAGGACCCCTTACCATTCTATAGAAGACGTYAGTTAAACTTGTAAACTTGAAGAGCATTTTCCATCCCAACACCAGCAACGCATCTACTAGGATCGGCTTTTCCATCTCTATTGTACGTTGATATACTGCCAGGACCATACCAGCACTCTCCATAGTATTCAATACCAAACACTTGATCATTTACATTGGCTAACTTGGCACAAGCATCTACAGTTTTCTGCAGGTTATACCAGTCGATCTGACCCCTCAAGTTCGTTAGAACAGGGAAAGGTCTTGCACCACTTTTCCCATTGTCTTTGAAGCATCCAATTGGCTTATATGTGTGCGGGACAGAGCCTCCAGCTTTTGAGAGACGGAGATGAAGAATGGATTTATGGAAATGCATGTTACAATACGATATATTATAGCAAAAAGACGGTAGGCCAAAAAAATGTTTTGGGTAAAATTGCATATTTTTTAACGTCTAGAAGCACCCTTTTATTTAGGACGTAATTTAGAAGAATTTAGAAGCTTTTTTATCTCTTAAAATGTTATGTTGCTTGATGAAAAGGGTTCTTAAATTAGTCACTTCGAAATTGAGAAAAAAACCTGTATCGAGTTGAAATTGCAATGCATTATGGGGCTGTTTTAGGGAACATATTTCAATCCAAGATGGCGTCTATTTTGTCCCCAAAAGCAGTCCCACAATGCACTTAAATTTCGACTCGATTCAGTTTCCCCCTGAATCTCGTGATGGCTAATAACTAAGGAAAGAAACCAATAATTGGATACTGGCAGCAATATACTTCTATATGTGACAATGTCATGCCAAAATGCTTTTCCAGTAATTTTACTGACGTAATTGGATAATAATTTGATGATATTAATAATAATTCATTAATAACTTCTGAAAGCCTTTAGGTATTTTGTGGTCAATTCCTTTACGCTGTGTTGCCATCGCTACAGATGAAGGTACTTACCATTGCACGGATCTTCGTTGCAAGCCTCTTGTAAAGCTGGCTTAGGCAAACCAGTACAATACATGTCCAACATAGGTTTTATCAAGGAATCTTCATCTTTAAACCTACAGGAAACAGATCTTGTCCTGATTCCTCCACCACAAGACACTGAGCACTGAAAAAAAGGAAATTTTCAATGGGAAAAACGCTTGCAATTTGGCTGATAAATTCCTCGTTGCCGCAAGAAGTTCCTGCCGATGCAATTTGGCTGGTAAATGCCAAGTAGTACTTACTCTTTGAAAATGTTTTGCAGACGGAAATCATGTGTTAGAGTGCAAACCATATATATGTGAAATAGCACAAAACAAATTTCTATTGTTTTAAATTGTTTTACTATTGATATTTTGTACTAATTATTTAGTTAGTACTATTTCATTGATATATGGTTTGCAATCTAAGGTAATTAGATAACTAATGATTTTTCTCTAGAGAATTCGCGAATTTTCAATCTTGTTCAATAACGCTCCCTTTCATTAGATATTTGTTACAAAAAAGTGCAAAGCACTGTTGTGCTGCATTAAAAAAAACGTCTTTTGCCTGCGATGCGGCCCCTCTTCCATTCCCTTAGAATAGACAGAAGAAATTATGCCTACCGATGACCAAACACCAGGAAGCCACATTGGTGGACAGCTGATTTTATTGCAGATTTGACTTGTGGCTCCAGCTGGCTTGCTGCCGGTACAGGAAGAATCTGACACTACTTCATATTGACCTTCTGCTACAAGGTTTCTGCATGCGATCTGACGATGCTGAACCCCTTTTCCACAGGAGCTTGTGCATGGTCCCCATGGTGATTCATACCATCTATGAGAATAAGGAAAAAATCCTGATCAACTCAAATATTCATAGTACATGTACATTTAGTATGTACACACACACATGTATATATAAACTTGAATATACATGGTAGATAAATGATAAACTTCCAGTAGAAGGATTCCAAAGAATTCAACAGTCTTTTTGTCTTCATAGAAATATGCTTGTATATAAAGGTAAAAAGAGACAACAGGCAACTTCTAATGTTCCAAAAAATTGTATTTAATGTTTCGGCCATTCGGCCTCCTTCAGAAAAAATAAAGATATATACAGGATTAAAAAGTAAAAAAGTAGAGAATGAATAGCATCATATATATGCCTCTCCCCTTAACCATGGGTTATGAGTAAAACAGCTTATCCTACACTTCTTTTCAATCCTATCCAATGACCTTTATAGTCAGCATATCCTACTCCCTTTCTCATTGGTTATCAGTTAAACCTCTCCTCTCTATGCCATCCAACGGACTCTATTATCCAGCATATTATTGACCCTAGGGTATTACCCCCTACCCCCAAGGGCAATCTGCGGGTGTTTTTCACCCATCATATTACTCACTGAGCAGGGCATGGCTGTGTTTTGCAAGCTTGTGCCATGGCTGGTTTCGGGCCATTTTGGCTGCAAAGGCTTTCTCTGCCCATCGATTTGTCGTCTTTTCTCTGGCATATCACAGATCGAGTTTGCTTTCCTTTTGTGCATGCATTGAAATAGGAAGAACAGAAGAAGAAAAAAAAAAACAACAAAAAAACAAAAAACAAAAAAATCAACACACCTGCAACGCTTGCATTATACATATAAGATTTCCAATACTCAAGTATATAGCTTTGAGCTAGTTTAGGGTTAGTCTTAATATTTAATTAAATCCTGTTGTGTTCAAGAGGTTGATACGTTACATAGTATCTATATCTTTGACGGAAAACACACTCGAAAAATCAGTGCTTCCAACGTATTTTCATGCCATGAAATTGTCCAAAAGGTTGGAGGACTGATTTCCAACAACTTATTCTCCCTTCATATTTCCAAAATCTCCAATCGATTGTATTTTTTCAGCCGTTACAGGAGTTTCACTTTTCATTTTAGTAGTGATAACAAAAAAAAAAAAAAAGAACTTTAAAGGTGCGATTACACGTAGCAATTTTCTCGGTAACTTTTCTCGCAACAGCATTGCGACACAAGTTGCATGGAGCATTTCAACGTTTAACCTACAGCACAAATTGAAAAAATGTTGCGAGACAAGTTGCAGCAATCGTTGCCATGTAGACACTCTTGCAACTTGTGTTGCAAAGCCGATGCGAAACGATTTGCAGAGAATATTGCTCCGTGTAATCACGTCTTAAGAAGTTTTACGAAATGCTAACTTTAGCAATACCTACCCTTTGCACACGTTTTTGAGCACGCACTCCAAGGTGAAACTACCCATTCAAAATCAGAACCAGTTACTACGGTCTTTACGGAGTTTGAGAAGTACTTGTAGGTGATTGGTTTATTCCCTGAGATGTAAACATGCTGCAATACAAAAGAAGAAGAAGAACGTTATTTGTACCCTTTATTACAATTTTTGTTCTAATTACATTATTTTATGTTTAAACAGATTGAGGGGGTACCAACTTCCAAAAATAACTAGGAAGCTAAAAATGCTTGGGAGCTGGTTTACATATTCTTAATCAAATAGTAATTACATTTTAGGGTCGGGATTTCTGCTATTTACAATTATGATAACACACAGTAACACATAGGCAAAAAAACAAGAAAAGCAAATAGTTGAAAAAATGACACAAAAAACACACAAAAGCTGTACAAATTGATGGTTTTCAACCATTCCCAAGAGAATTAAATAACAAAAGTTACGGCGGCCATGTTGGAGGATATAACMAAAGAATTCAATGACAATTCTTTTGTTAAGTTCCTCCAACATGGCCGCCGTGAAAACCTTCAATACACACATAGCACACAAGAGCATCATCAGTCTTTATATTTAGGTTAATTTGTAAAAGTAAACTGGATCTTAATATTTAGACATTAATTCGTTTTTCAATTTTTTTCTTAAATTGAGAGACAATTTCTTAAAAAGATAAGATCAATAGAATATGGAAATTTATGACCATTAAGGAGATAGGATACTTGCTTTTCGCCTCACATTTGCTTCATATTTCCATATTTTATAGCACAAAGTATAGTTTGGTTTTTGAGTTAGATGTACCTTGACTCGATTTGAGCCGAGATATTGCTTCAGGGGTCCATCAAATTGACCGATCGATAAGCTTTTTATTAGTGATTCCAAGGTGACCTCGGGGAACGCGCGCAAAGGATTGTCGTACTTGATCAGGCGGTCCTAGTTTCAGTTGTTTATCGGCGAACAAAGAGCTATCATTTCACGATAATTTCATAAAAGAATTGAAACCACAACCCACCATTTGATCCATAGGTAGTCGTTACGAGTATAGGTGGAATTTTAAATGCATTGCTAGTGCATAAAGTAGCTAGGAAATATCAAAGATTCAGAGTCCTTTTCTCTGATTGCGGCCGCCATGTTTTCTTGATAAATATCCTCATTTGAATTGGACTACCTGAAAAGATTTCTTCCTGTTTTATCATTGGCTGGTTTTGATTGGYTGTCAAAACGATATCACGTGTTTTTTTATTTTGAAACGTAAGAAAGACATACTCACGTATACACGTAATACAGCATTTGTTGGACCGGGAATGAAGATACTGTCCTTGTATACGTTTTCTTCGTGTTTATAATGCACTTTCGTCCCTGCAGCTTCTACGACAGTACTCCAGGACGGCATATTCCAGAGCCATTGATCATTTTCACCCTTTACGCCTGATTCAACACAAAAAAGAAAGGCGGTTTGAAAAATATAGAATATATTCGTTGTATAAAGTATTACAGTTACTTATGTGACTAGTACTTCTTTGCTATGTATCTATTTGACTAGTACATCTATTTGACTAGTACATCTATTTGACTAGTACATCTATTTGACTAGTACATCTTACCAGTCATGTAAAATACTTCCTCGGCTTGGGCGTAATGTTTTCAATTTCAGACCACGAGTCATTCTCTTGAGAATAAGATTCTTTGTTTGAGTTGTATCAATATTCATGTGCCTTATCGTGTACTTGTGCAAAAGATTTCAATCGTTGTACAAAGAAATGATACTCTAGGGAATGACACGTGGTCTGAAATGGGAAAACATTACGCCCAATAGACCTATCCCGAATTCGAACCACGAAACAATGGTTTGAATTCGAGACTGAACTTGATTCTTTTATTCATCAAGTTCAACCTCAACTTAAAACCATTGTTTTGTGACTAGTCAAGCGAATTCGGGAAAGGTCTATTAAACCGGGGAGGTCTATAATGGTCACCTCGTAAGCAGCACCAAACGTATTTATGATTACCTATCTGATCCTTATTTATCATCTTAAGTGTTATATGATTAAAAATGATCTCCTTGGTTACTTTTTGGATGAGACATGGTCTACATGATTACCCATCAGATTTTAATCATGCAGCATTCCAAGACCATTGCTTCCGTTAGGCTGYGTTCATAATGTATGGCAGAGGAGGGGGGGCAGGTGAAATTTAGGGGGTCCGGAAAAATTTTTACCGATAAAATGGGGGGCTTGAATTTTTTTTTCAGAGAATTGGGGGGTATGCAAAATTTTTAGAAGAAGCTACGAGAGATTGCCCGGGGGGGGGATAATTACCTTTGGGGGGACTTCAAGGGGGGGTCTTAAGAATCCCCCCCCCCCTCTGGCATACATTATGAACGCATTCTTAATAAGGTTTACATTATAACCTACCTAAAACATCCCAGTCCTTATTGGTTTGGTTCACGTACACTTGTGTTGATCCTACTGGGATGGTGAGCATCAGGCATGCCTTATCTACACCTGGTTAAATTAGAGCAACATAAACGCATTACAACAATATATGACAATATGAAGTAGTAAGACTCACCCCGGCTACGGCATAGTAGCCGTGTAGTGTAGTGCAGTTTTCGTATGACTGTGAAAAGTTCACGGCACGAACACGGTCGTGACACAGCAAGGGATACGCCAGACCAATCACATTGCACGAGAATTTACTCCCCATCCAATCAAATACCCGGAACACGGCATAAACACGGCGCGGACGACACGGTCAAGCCAAGATCACGGCACTTTTAGACCAATCATATTTCGTGTGAAAAAATCAGCCAATTAAATTTCTAGAAAGTATCACGGTCACGGCACGTCACGCTTACGTCACTGAGCTTTTCACAGTCATACGAAAACTGCTCTATGAAGTTGCATACTTACCCCAACCGCATCGTGTACTATATGTGCCACTGATTAACCCGCACGATGAACTGTCTCCATTACATACTCCACATCTATCAATGTACTTTCCAGATTCGAGTACATCATCACATCCCACTTTCTGTAAAATAGATTACATTACTTATAAAGCTATTTGTTATTCGTTCTTAAATAAAGAGTCCAGCTTACATACCCTGCATTTGTTTTCGATGCAGACATCTTTGACGAACTTGTCACCAGAACAGCGTGAGCCGTCTTTCGCTTGTCCTTTGTCGTGATTCATTGAGCCTTCTAAACAATACAACTGACACGGTTTTGCTAAAGAAGTGAAATGAGCCAATAAAAAAATAATTAATAGATCTTGAAAGGATAAATAAGCAATAAAATTATTAACCATTAATTTTAATTTGGCAATGGCAATGGTGGCAATGGCAATGGCAATGGCAAT